AATAGTACTTATTAATTAATTATATTATAATATACTACTATATTATAATAATTATTTATTACTTTATTATTACTACTACTATAGTCGTAGTATATATATATATATATATATATATATATATATATATATATATATATATGGGATTTCAAGGGTTAACAATCCCTCAAATAACATAGGTTAATATTAGAATCCCTTGTAAAGCATTTTTTTACTTTTATTGCCCCTATATTATTTAAAGAACAGAGCCTATTATAAAGGGTATTTTGGACTTTTAGTTCAAAACTTGAAAACAAAAATATTTTAATGAGTGAAATTTTGAAATTTGAATTTTAAAATTCATCTCTACCTCTTTCTCTCACATAGCTTTCTATTCTCTCTCCTTGTCGTCCCCCATCCTCTCTCCCTCGATATCTCTCCTTGGGGCCTCTCTCTCTCTCTTGATAGGGAAAAACATTCCCCGGCAAACATGGAAGCAAGTTTTTGAAGGCGATTTATGCTCCCTCTCTCTCTCTCTCTCACCCATGACTCCTGACATTTCCACAATTGCAGAGCCTTAAGTGCCGCCTCTGTCCTTTCACTAGAGACTTAAGATTGGCATAGACGTCGCCCCAAGCACTCTGTTATCTCCATTAAGAGAAAACTTTTAGCTCATGGCAACTTCAAGTCCACAAACATTCTCTTAATGACACCCCTTGATTTCACAACTCGCCTCACTTACTACAGTCTCCATAGGATTGGCACAGCTGATCAAATCTTAAACCTAGGGGCCATAAGTCATAGGGCTCTTGAATTAGCCAATGCAATTAAACGAATCCCATCTTCTTGGGTTTATAATTATAGAACTTCTTACTGGTAAAAGTGCAGTTGATATAATATCAGGCCATTCAGGAGTTGTTGATCTCGCGGATTGAGTTCAATTATGTGCAAGTGATGATGGTAGAGGGGCAGATTGTTGTGATGTACAGGTTGTGGGTTCAGAGTCTCATTGAGATGGATGATTTGCTTGCAATTTTTTGAAAAGTCTTCTTCTTGTTAAAGCAAGGCCGGATATTAGAACAATCCTTGAAGATCTCATATCTATAAGTTAGGACTTACGATTGAGGCTTTTATTGTATGTGGCGTACATCGAGAGTAGTGTTGTATTAGGATTTTTTGAGGTGTTGATTTTGTTGTGAGGTTTTCCTTCTTTCCTTGAGCTGAGCTAACCTTGGCATTTTTGTGTAAGGAGAGATGATTGATTGATTTGTAATTTATTTGGTAAAGTTTGCTTTGTGCTCTCTCTCTTAAATTTCAAAACAATTGAGTATTTTGCAAAATCCCAATGCAGAACACCAAGATAGCATTGAATAGTAAAGACTACAAAAGGAACTAGAGCAAAGGAAGAATAAGAATCCAATTTTATTAAAATTGATAGTAATTTCACAAGAGAGAGAGTTCATGAAACTGGTTAAGCCCCTCTTTTCATTGGTTTATATTTTAACACCATTGCCCAGACTGCAAGGCATTAGCTACACTTAAGAAGAAAAAAAAAAAGTTAAACTATGAATTTATTATTCAAAAGTGGGTTTTAATAATTTTAGTAAAAAAAGAACCCACCTATGAACTTGCTAATTCTTTCAACAACTAAAGTCTATTTTATCTATCCGACAATCGAATTTTAAATTAAGTTTTGATTCAGAGGCAGAGTCTATTTTATCCATCCGACAATCAAATTTCAAATTAAGTTTTGATTCAAAGGCAGAATCCCCAAGTGAGAAAACAATTCAAAATTCTCAGAACAAGGAATTTGATAGGATAACGGCAGTAAACTGCATAGTCTAAGAGAGAGTCATGTGTCATGGGTGAGAAAGAGAGAGAGAAAGTCGGAGCATAGGCAACCAACAATGAAATCGCCGTCAAAATAGAAAAGAAGCACTTCCATATTTGTAGAGTAAGAGAGAACATAGGCAACCAGCAATGAAATCGCTGTCAAAGAGGAGAACTTCCATATTTGCAGGGGCATTTTTTTTCCTATCAAGAGCGAGAGAAGATGGGGGAGGGCAAAAAGAGAGTTCAAGAGAGAGAGGATGGTTGATGGCAAGGAGAAAGAGAGAATAGAAAGGCGTGTGAGAGAAGAGATAGAGATGAGGTTTGAAATTCAAAATTCAAATTTTTCCCTCATTAAAATATTAGTTTTTTCAAGTTTTGAATTAAAAGTCCAAAATACCTTTGTATAATAAGCTTTGGTCTTCAAATAATATAGTGCAGTAAAGGTAGAAAGGTGTTTCTCAAGGGATTCTAAGTTTAAACTATGCTATTTGGGAGGTTGTTAACTCTAGAAAATATAATATATATATATATATATATAGAGGAAAATATTGAGATTAGCCCACTAACTCATATGAACATATGAGTTCATATGAGCCTAATGGCTCAAATTGAATCTGGGCCAATCTGCCGGTCACGACCTCATTTCGTATTTGAATTTTACTGTTTTTTCTACAAATCCAAATAACTCGAATTTTTAGGTGTGTTTTAAAAAATAGGATAATCTAATAAAATATCAAAAAAATAATTTACAAGAAATAAATTGATCAAAATACGTCTAAAAAGTTTTGGGGGTATTTTGGCCATTTTTTTTACTGTGAATTATTTTTTAAATATTTTTGTTAGGTGTATCTTGATGAGAAGAATGAACACCTAAAATTTCAAATTATTTGGATTTGTATAAAAAATTAAAATTAAAATTCAAACACAAAATGAGGTCGTGATCATCAGATCGGCCTAGATAAAATCTAAGCCATTAGGCTCATATGTCCATATGAGCTAGTGAGCTAATCTCAATATATATATATATATATATATATATATGGGAGTCACTGCTGTACATCCATACGCGAATGGCCCATATTGAATATGGGTAGTTCTGTATCCGATCTGACGCTCACGGATGTCTGGTAGTATTTGAATTTTAATGTTTTTTTTTAGAAATCCAAATCACTTAAAATTTTAGGCGTGTCTTCTTCTTATCAATGAACACTTAATAAAAATATAAAAAAAATAATTCACAAAAAAATTTAGTCAATTTATTTCTTGTAAAAAAATATTTTGATATTTTTCGTAGATTCGTCTATTTTTTAAGAACACATGCCTAAAATTTCAAGTGATTTGGATTAACAGAAAAAAAATTAAAATTCAAACATTATTGGACATCCGTGATTGTCAGATCGGTCCAGATTCAGTCTGGGCTGCGGGAGTTTATTATAGCAGTACGCACCTGAGCACATAACATCTTTTCTCTCTCTATATATATATATATATATATATATCCACCCTTTCCTACCGATTCTAACAGTACTACTTTAAAAAGGGAGAGTGACCACTATAATGGTAAAAGATAGAGATTTATCTAAACTAGCAAGCAATTAATGATTGGCATATAATATAATCAAATTTATTTACATATATTACTGTAAAGGAAGGAGGTCCCTTTAGATTATCTAAATTAGCAGACATTTGAATTAAGATAGGAATTAGATCTAATCAAATTTTATTTATAAAAATACAAAGACATGTAAGTATTTACCCTAGGTCCACATGCCCTACATTCTTACCCTGGACTGTAGGAACACATAGGGATCAAAGAGAGAAACACAATATTCATCATAGATCAAAAGATTTTACACTCTCGCAGGAGCTTTTCCTCCATTCACTTACTTGGCAAAACCAAATCAATGAGTACTTTTAGGAACCCCAAGTTTTGGGGATAGAGCTCTTTAACCAACCAATCAACCTCTAAAAAATACAAACTAAAAATCAGAAAAATAAAAATAAAAAATAAAAAATAAAGACAGAAACTCATTTAGCATGTACTTTAAAAATAATATCATGTGATTGAATAGAGAATGTTCAATCTTTAGACTATTAGCTCTAAGCGTTTAAGAACTCAAAATCCAATTTTTTAAAAATACTCATTTAATGGAAATCCAAAATTTCATATATACGAAATCCCCGAATTAGCTGTCACTCAAGGGAGTGAGTGTTCTGTATGCATATGCAACTGCAAGGTATACACGTCCTTATCAAAAACCGTACTCTAATCATGTTCCCCATACCTTCACTCTCTCATTAGGTCCGAATGTCATGTATCACAATTCATTACTACCATTTGATGCGAAATTTGATAACTTGGATGTGTCACAAAGTTTGAAAAATTTTATTTGAAGTTTTAGCTTGGTCAAAAGAACAATTGCACCCACCCAATGTCACATCTAATGGTCAAGATTAATGTGACTATCTTGTATCAAAGATAAATGGTCTTCTTCTATACTTTTCCATGTATGTAACAATTATAAGAGAAATTTACGAATATCCCTTATAAGTTGTGGAAGTCAAAAATTGCCCCTAATGAATTCATACTCATGTCCCACTCTTTACGTTTTTTTTTTTTTCCAAAATAACCCAATTCGGAACTTCAAGTTTCGAATTGGTTCATTGTTTTGGAAGTGACATACCAACTTGGAAC